AGAGATGATTTGTCTTCGATCCGGGCTGGACTCAGGACTGGATTGGACGGGTTGGGCCTAAGCGTGACCCAGACAAAAAATCAATAAGAAAATGTTTAAGTAGCCTAATAAGATGCTTTGATATCCGTGCCACTTTTAGAAGGAGTACCGGAGCAGTTCTCAATATAATATAAGAGGATCGTCTGCGGGTAAAAGAAGAAGATACTGATCGAGATCGAGTTGCTGGCCGGTATACTACAACAAGTCTACTACTACTTGCATACATGAGGCTAAAGTCCTGTTTGGATGAATTTCGGATTCTTAAAAACCAGTTTTTACCTCTAGTTTGTAAAACCTAGATTGGGTATTTAGATTCTCTAGTTTTTAAGAAACTGACTTCATTTATTACTCTATGGTAAAAAAAACTAGCAAAAGTTATGTATCACCACCTTCCTGGTTTTTTTAAATCTAACCAAAACTAGCAGCAAAAACTTATCTGTTTGGATCACACCAAGTTTCTAAAAGCCATATTCTTAAAAAAAATTGTAAAAACTAGAGTGATGCAAACCGGGCCTAAGATAGATGCTGCATGGGTGATGGGGATTAATCCGGCGGCCGGCGGCGAGAGAAACCTAGGCATGCAGAGGCATAACTCCGACAGAGTCCGATGTCGGACCGGCCGGCGGTGGCGATGAATAGTATAATGAGCTTGCTTGTCCCAGCTGTCGATCCGGCAGGGCAAGTGTGGCCTCACAACTTGGTACAGAGGATCAGAGGATATGGCAGCTCCGGCATCTCTCACTTAATTGCTGGTGCCTGCCTGCCTGCCTTCGAGATCCAGAACCAGCAGAGCTCTGTTTACTACTTCCTCTCATATAGTAGAAAATAAATATAATGCCGATTAGTCAGTCCTAATGAAAGTTTTGATGTGATAGTCTCCATAACTATGTTATGGATCTCCCATGCCAATTGAGACTGACCTTAACATATCAACACATGCTAGTAAGTTAATGAGGCCATTTTTGGGTGAAGAGTTTCATATACAGCGCTGTTTCTAAGAATATAGAATAATACAATGAAACATGTATGGATGAAACAATAACTTTCGATGTGTAGTTATTTCATTCTTTTGTTTCATAGATATTTAATTCTATGACTCATCCTTATAAATACTCATGTGACAACCTATTCAATACATACGAAACTTTGGAATGAAAACCACTACCTCTGAGATACTGGCCAAAATATGACACTTAGACTAGAGTAATAAAATACCTTAAAATAAAAAAAATTTATCTACTCTAAAATGCATGTGTCATTATAAATTTAACAACATCAATCAACTAGAGATTTTATGTAGGTTGTCGTTAAATCAAAATAGTTTGATTTATAACAGATCTATAGGTTATGGAGCCGTATTTTTCTAACAAAACCGGAAGAACTAAATAAAATACTAGGTGGATAATGCATATACAAGCAGAGAGAGAGAGAGAGTAAGACTGCCCACAATGTATCGTTTTACCGGTGCTTGAAGAGGAGAGAGAAGGTCCAAGCACCTGTGCCGACCATTGCGAGCGATGCTGAATTCCCAGAAAAATTGGGCACCGAGTCATGTAGAAGCATCGATGCTTCAAACCTCTCTCTGGCAACATGCATGTATATGAGAGAGAAAAATGTGCACAAGAGAGAGGAAAGCTGTCTACAGTTGTTGTTTTTTACTGTTTAGTGGGTCCTACACGATGCCTGCCCATTGCAGCTTGTCTCCACCGATGCTGAGTTTCTGCTTTTAGTTTTGGGCATCGATGCACACACTGTGGCCAGTCTAATTGGTATAGGCGCAGCTAATGGAGCATATGTATGCATGTATCATGTATGTACAATATCTCCGTTCTAAATTATAAGTTATTCTATTTTTTAGATACACAATATTTTAATATATATTTAAATAATAATATATATTTAGCTGCTTAACAAAAACTATATATATACACTAGAATAACAAATACTGAGGGATTATCATGTATATTTATTTGTTAATAAAGTAGACGAGGAAGTACACGCTGTATATACTACGTGCGTCCAGATCGAAAAGGAGAAGGCAGGCAGGCAGGCATGTGATCCGGTGCGGCGAGCGAGGCGCGTGCTCCTCGTGGTCGTGGTGCATTATACAAATTTAGGACGACTGCAGGGCAACGCATCGCATCGGGGAACAATTAAAAAATTGCATAAATACGCTGCTGATAGTGAGCCACGTCGTCAGCAGGTCTCGGATCGTCGTCAACACGTCGCATGATCGATCATATTCTTTTCTGACAACCTCGCATTGCTTGCAATATACTCACATCACTAGCTAAAACACATGTACTTTTATTACCATTAACAGTACACTTTTGTTCCGATAAACACATAGTAAAAGTATATGATATATATTATGAACAAGTACGTACTTCTCACACAGATCGACTACTACTAGCTACTACCATTTTCAAATATTCAAAATCAGCACAAAAAATTATGGCAGTTTATTTTTATCAGAGTTTATAGTGGATATTTTTCATTCTACTATTCGGGAATATCATTTTATTTGTGACTGGAGTAAGCAATACATTTCATAGAGAATTTGGTGCTTCGAAATGACTCTACTTGCCCATGAAATATCTTTCTTTAGAACACGTCCATTAACCTATGTTTATTTGAGATGGTTACTCATAAAATAAATCTTACGCGAGTTCATTTTCATTTGCTCTTATTCGAATGTTTATTTTTGTTTTAAAGTGTATAGGGTTGAAAAGGATACTCTAATATGGAATCCAAAAGCGGTGGTACGGGACTTTCCTTTTTTTCATCAAAATATCTAATAAAAAACGGTTGCGCTAAATTTTTTAAACAACAACCTTCATATTTAGATAAAACATAAACGGTTAGGAAAGGTATCATAATACGGAAAACAATATCAAGCAGTATGGTATTTTCCTGTATTGTTGTCACCCTTGAAAATGTAAGCTAAAAGGGAGACATGAGCAATTAAGCAAAAAACAATTTCTTTTATAAAAAAAAACTGTACAAGCCATGAATGATTCAAACTCGAGATCTTTGGGCTTAAAAACATAAGGAGTTGTACTCACAAGGCGGTTGACCCAAAATGATAAGTTATTGCCGGCTGATAAAGATAGACAATCCACTTGTACTAAAAAATATGTCTTGCAATGGCCTCAACCTCTCTGCCATATAAATATTTCATGGGTAAAGTAAGAGAACTATTTCATGGGCAAAGTAAGAGATGCCAGTGAAGAAGAGGGAAAGGTAAGCGATGGAAGAAGGTGATAAACCCCTAGAGTTTGTTGCATTCTTCTGCCCCTATCCGGTACTTGTCATACATTCTTTTGAAACATGACGCAATTCTCATATGGTTTCACTAAACCTTAACCTACCAAGTCCTGGTGCACCTTTATTTGGAAAATGTTCTATAGCACTTTACATGATTTTTTTTGTTAAAACTCAGACTCAAATATCTAAGGGTATGTTTGGGAGGGATTCTTCAAATTGTTTTCCTTAGAAATAGAAGATATTATCAAACAAAAACTAATGTGGAGAGAAATTGGATAATCCCTACCAACAATATGTTATTAAGAGTGCATTTGGTACGGATCCAGATTCTCGTGAAACACTGACCATTTGGCTAGTAGGCTAGGTTCTTATAAAAATATTTTTAGAAAAAAATCATATACATAAAAATGTACTTAAAAATTAGAATTTTCAGGTAAAGAACAACTTAAACATAACCCAATTTAACTTGTAGGAGAAAAGCCCAATGAGACGGCCTAGAGAATTCTGGCAAAACTAGCCATGCTATTTCGATCCGATGAAGGAAATGTGAAACGTTTCAGCTCCGTGAATCCCCCCGCTGCAGCTGTGCTCGGAACTGTTTATGATGCTTCTCGTGAGAAAGGTGTCTAATTGTTGCATCAAAACACACTCTCATCACAGACCAGAGGAACCTATCTCACAACAAAATCGGTTCCTATCACACAAAAATGTCTCTTCAAGAATCAACAAGACAGATGGGGAGCTAAAGTCAATACAAGAGAAACCTCCTCGCTCAAGTCTAAAGGGTAGATGCCGCCCCATGCCGTAGGCAGGCAGGCACAAGCTGAGCAAGAAGAAGCATATGCCAAAACAGAAAGAGAAGATATTTTCTCCCAGCACAACATAGCATAGCATGTGTAGCATGGCAAATTATCATCTTCGTCATTATCTGCCACCCCAGCACACCCATAACTTTTTTTTTCTTTCCTCGTGTTTTTATTCCTACTACTAGGTGGCTGGGTGGGGGGGTGGAGAAATGACAAATCCAGGCCCGCAGGCAGCCACCCACCAAATCGGACGATGCAGGGTGCCCAAATCAGGAAGGATTTTAAGGTTAACCGGCTGCCACCGGCCACCGCCGGTGACCCCTCCTTTTGGACGCCCCACCCCACTCTCTCTTCTATCTATATATTACCCGCCTCTTTTTCTCCCTCCCTCCGCCCCACCTTCTTCTTCTTCTTCTTCCTCAGCTCCGTCGACCACCGCCACCGCCGGCCGCCCGCCGGAGCTCTGAAAGGCCCCTCCTTTCCTGTAAAAAACCCACCTTTAGCTACCTCTTCTCCCCATAGCTTGCTAGCTAGCTAGAGAAGGAAGGAAGGAAACGGTAGCTGACAGTTGATTGGTGGTCCGGGGTACGGTGTTCTTGAGTCGTGAAGCGACCGTACAGTGGCTAGGGCGTCTCCGGGTTGCGTGCAGGATGGTCGTCAAGGATCAGGGGAGTGAGGAGGCAGCTGCTCGTGGTCGTGGAGGCTAAATGTACCGCAAGAACGACTCGGCACTCTCCTGCTTATACCTCTTCCTCCTCTGGTTCTTCTTCTTGAAATGGACCAGCTCACCAGCACCAGGTAGCTACTAGCAGTAGCAGCCCAGTTGCGATTGGGGATCGGTCGCGGGCTCTCGTTTATTTGCAAGTTGGAATCTTGGAGGAGGAGGAGATGGAGCTGGATCTGAACGTGGCCGAGGTGGCGCCGGAGAAGCCGGCGGCGATGGAGGCGAGCGACTCGGGGTCCTCAGAGTCGTCGGTGCTGAACGCGGAGGCGGCGTCGGCGGGCGGCGGGCCCGCGCCGGCGGAGGAGGGCTCCAGCTCGACGCCGGCCGTGCTCGAGTTCAGCATCCTCAGGAGCGACAGCGACGCGGCCGGCGTGGACGAGGATGACGCCGCCACGCCGTCGCCTCCTCACCATCACCAGCATCACCAGCAGCAGCTCGTCACCAGGGAGCTCTTCCCGGCCGGCGCCGGCGCCGGCCCGCTGCTCCCGGCGCCGCAGCATTGGGCCGAGCTCGGCTTCTTCCGCGCCGACCCGCCGCGCCCTCAGCAGCAGCAGCCGGACATCAGGATTCTGCCGCACCCGCACCCGCACCCGCACGCCACGCCGCCTGCTCCCCAGCCGCCGGTGCAGCCGCAGCCGGCCAAGAAGAGCCGCCGCGGCCCGCGCTCCCGCAGCTCGCAGTACCGCGGCGTCACCTTCTACCGCCGCACCGGCCGCTGGGAGTCCCACATCTGGTCAGTACAACTACACCCATCGCCGCCATCCTTTCACCTACCAACCAATCGCTTCTCAGTCTTGTTCTGACACAAACGTTTCCTCCTCTTCCTGTTCCTCCGAAATGCAGGGATTGCGGAAAGCAGGTGTACTTAGGTGAGCAGATTTTAACTCCAATTTGTACTAGTAATCCTTGTATTAATTTTCCTTTATTCCCTGATCTCGAATGGTCTAACCGATTCAGTGATCTGGCTGCTGGCCGATACAGGTGGATTCGACACTGCTCATGCTGCTGCAAGGTACGCACGCACAGAATTCTGCTCTGAACCCCGTACTGAATTCTGCATCATATCCACTGTTCCGCGGACTAATCAATCGCTCTTGGGACTTTCAGGGCGTACGATCGAGCAGCGATCAAGTTCCGCGGCGTCGACGCCGACATAAACTTCAATCTCAGCGACTACGAGGACGACATGAAGCAGGTCGGTCTACATGAATGTTTTTGCAACATCCACTGAAACATCTCTGCAGCTGCTGAATATATATGGCTGTCCTGTTTGGTGCGCCAGATGAAGAGCCTATCCAAGGAGGAGTTCGTGCACGTCCTGCGGCGGCAGAGCACCGGCTTCTCGAGGGGCAGCTCCAAGTACAGAGGCGTCACCCTGCACAAGTGCGGCCGCTGGGAGGCGCGCATGGGGCAGTTCCTCGGCAAGAAGTAAGAACACTTTATTTGCAGACTGAATTATACTACCGGTTTTTCCCCCCCTCGGTATCTCTATACTTGCTGCAAATTCATCCTTGTGCCTTTCCTCTGTTAGTTCATGCATGCTATAGTCTTGATCGAGTTCATTCCTAGCAGATGAACTCCGATCCTATGTATGATTTAGTACTAGTTTATGTATTGTTCGGTAATAGCATAGGTTTGATGCATGTATGTAGCTTGATTAGTGGTTGTTTCAAAAATAAAAAAGGAATTAATAGAAAAAGGGAAGTGGCTAGGGAATTCCTAATTCCTCACCGGTGGGAACGCCATGCTTGGGTGCAGGTACATATATCTTGGGCTATTCGACAGCGAAGTAGAGGCTGCAAGGTTGTTCATCTTGGATTCTGCCATTCACATATGCAAACAAAAAAATGTTTTTTTTTTGTTTTTTTTATCATGTCTTTTGATTTCCAAAGGGTTGAGTACCGACTCGATTCTTGTTTCTCTTCTTGTCATTCCAAAATTCAGGGCTTACGATAAGGCCGCGATCAAATGCAATGGTAGAGAGGCTGTGACGAATTTCGAGCCAAGCACATATGATGGGGAGCTGCTGGCCGAAGTTAGCGCTGACGGTAGTGGCTTGTTCATAATTGTTTTTTGCATATAATCTTCAGTTGATGTTTATAATTAGCTGATCAGCTGATGAACTTGTTTGGATTCAACCTAGGTATTATTGGCTAAACTGCCTGTTTTTTTTTTTTTTTTTTTTTTCTTCTACAGTTGCTGAAGTTGATCTGAACTTGAGCATATCTCAACCAGCATCTCAGAGCCCAAAAAGAGATAAGAACTGCCAAGGTCTGCAGCTCCACCATGGTTCATATGAGGGCTCCGAATTGAAAAAAACAAAGGCAAGCGCTAACTCTACCTTTTTTTTTTTGCAAATACGCTAACGCTACCTTGACAAGTATCAAAATCAGTAAAATTTTCTTCTCGAGTTTTATTGGCTACCCAATGCACTACTGCACAAAATAACCCAAGTTTCGCTCTCACCATGCTAGTGACGTAACTACCATGCCTCTTGTGGATCAAGTCCTTTTCATAGTTTACCTCCATCCTGTTTTTCTACAGCTGTTAGTGGCCCGGTTTTCATTTGATTGACCTCACAAGTCGGAATCATTAGGCAAATTATTTTATCGCATAGTTACAGGTTTCTCTTTATGGGTGATCACGACAGTTGAGCAGAACATTTTTTTTTTCCTACCAAAAATGAATTGTTTAAGGAATTATAGAGCGTGGACAACTTGGAAGCTGCCGATAATTCAACTAAAATCTTTTGCTTCTGATGCAGATTGATACTCCCTCTGAGCTGTCGGGCTGCCCTCATCGGTTCCCTCTTATGACTGAGCATCCACCGGCCTGGCCTGCTCAATCTCACCCCTTCTTCACAAATCATGAGGTTAGGTGATACTGAATTACTGAAATACAGGCAGTTAAAAATTAGCTCGCTAAATCTTACAGTTCCAAGGATTGTCAAAAGTCAAAACTAGCACCGCATGGTTTCGGGTCAAATTGTTCTTGTTGTGCAAATAAATCTGGCATGCTATCGTGAGTCTTGACCATATGATGAACAAACAGATTGTGCAGTGCAGCCTGAAGGTGTACTTTCAGATATCAGATTTTTATTAGTTGGTTTCATCCAGTTGCCTTTCTTGTGCGGCTGTCAATGTAGCTCTTGTCTTGCATCGCTTGCTCATTTTCTTGGATTCTAGAGTCCACTTGTTCCCTGTCGATTTCAGTGATGTTAATGCACTGCACGATTTTTCTTATAGGATGTTGAATTTCTTAAGTTGGCCTAATATGGGAATTATAGTACTAGCAGCTTTATGAATAGAGAGTATGTACATGTGTTTGATTTTTTCCTTCAAAAGGAACATCCTAGACTGGTGACTGGTGAGTGGTGACACTTCAACGTTAGGCTAATTAAATCATCAGTCAACTATGCCTGCCGCCTGCACCCAAGAACATTTCAATAGTGTTCCTTTTCATGTATTGTCTGTTATATATACAAGTGTGGCTATTTTTTCAAACCTTCCTTGAAAATGAAAACAAAAGATGATATACTTGGGAATTTGCCATCTTTTGTATTATAGTGCAATCATTGAACTAGTAGAAGTACTAAGTTTGCTGTTTGTTTCAAACAAAACATTATTTAATTTACCAATCAACCGGGGGTAGTTTCTTCAAATTGATAAACTCTCAAACCTTTCATGATTCAGCTAACTTTAGGGTTGGTCTCACAAGTGTCGTTTTCTGATTCTATTGGACGGAAAGTTGAGCTCGACGTTTTCTGTCCAACTGAACTGATGGAAACACTAATTTGGAACAAGTTCCAAATTAATCGAAAGGCAGATCGAGCTCCTGCCCATTTACTTTATCAGTAAACATGTATGCTGAATGAACTTCTGTTGCACCGTGCAGAGTGCATCATCGAGAGATCTTAACAGGAGGCCTGAGGGGGGTGTTCCCAGCTGGGCATGGAAGGTGACAGCTCCTCCTGCCACCCTGCCGTTGCCGCTGTTCTCGTCATCGTCATCATCCGCTGCAGCATCATCAGGATTCTCCAATACCGCCATGACAGCTGCCCCATCGGCCTCCCTCCGGTTCGACGCACCACCATCGCCGTCGCCGAGCCATCATCGCTGCTGAGAATCAAGAAGCCAGACTGTAAATCTGCCCTTGAAGCTGGCATTTTTCCCCCTCTGGGCGTTGCAACTTTTTTCGGTTTTGCGCCGGCTGGGGTGGTCTCTTGTAGTGGATTGATTGGATCTTCATAACTGTATTTGCATACCATCCGTCGGTGTTTTTCGGACTACCGGCGAGTAAATTGTATTTTGCAGCGTCTGGTTGGATGGTGTGCTCGAAGGACACAAGGGTTTATCTTGGTTCGGGCGGAACATCCCTACGTCCGGTCGTTATTGCTCGTGTTACCGGCACTTGGTTTTTGTAGTAGGGGTTACAAGCAGGCGAGAGAGGAGAGGATCCCAAGTCTCTGGTGGAAAAGGTAAGCGGGTCTTTGAGAGCTTGTTTGCTTGGCTTAAGCCGTAGTGCTTGTGTCATGCACTTGTGTTTCGTTTGTCTCCATTCATGGCGCCACGCTTCCTTTTTATAGGCGAAGGGAAAGCGTGGGTTACAGCGGAGGAAGAGGAGAAGAAAAAGAGTGGGAGAGGGAAGAAGGCTTCCACGGTCGCCGGGTCCTTCTTCTCCTTTATGCGGGTCCCGCCGATCCTGTAGATGTCAACAGGGATGACTCCACGTCGCGGCCCTGTTTCATCATTGGCGCCATCTTGTAAGCGTCATCTGCCGGTCATGGCGTTCCATTCCATCCCGGCAGACGTCGTGGTAGCCCAGCGTGCTGTCAAGACATTCTCTGAGGGTTAAGCGAGCAACCTTGCCACGCGCCAGCCTTATTCTTGATCTGAGTCATCAGGTATGGCCCGTCATGGCCACGGGTTACATCGAGGCGTGCCAGTCTCTTTCCTGGTGTCAGAGTTTTGACCTAAGCCCATACGTTTGGACCTAGAGTGGTTGGTGGCGGTATGGGTCCCCGTCAGACGAGACGAAAACCGCGTCTTTGGAGTTGGGCGAGACGGAGCCCGCACCCAAAGGGTCAGGCGAGGCAGAGCTCATGACCTCGAGGCGAGGCAGCTCGTATCCTGGGGGTCGGGCGAGGCCGAGCTCGCACCCAAAGAGGTCCAGGCAAGGCGAACCACGCACCCAAGAGGTGAGGCGAGGCCAGACCCATGACCTCCTGGTCAGGTAGCGATTTTGAGCCCCTGACCTTAGGGTCAGTAAGACCTTTTAATATGTCTTGCTCCATCCGGGGAAAGTCAGCGTGGCGCTAACTTCCTTGCTTTGGGTATCCCTAATATCGATACCGAGCGGTAGTCCCCGAGCGTCTGCATGAGAGGTAGAATACTCCTTTGGAGGCTTTTTTTTGGGACAGGGAGGACTCGAGGGCCTTGGCCTTCTTTTTTAGCCCATGGCGTGTCACGATGGGGACGGCGATTCCCTTTGTCACGATCGGTCTTCTTGGGGGCATATGCAAGTAGGATTGAGGAGGTCGAAAGATTTTCCTTGATTCCGGTCCCCTAGGATCCGATTGGCCCGTCGTCGATCTGCGACCCACGTTCGGTCTCCTTGCGAGTCCAACTTTCCTCGAGCCCCAGCGGCGTGGGGATGCAGTCGGCTCGGCTGCAAATCTTTGTGATCGTCGTCCCTCAAGCGTTTTTCTCTCAATAAAGCGGAGGGCTGAGCAATGCCCATTTTTCCTCGATGGGGCGAAACATGGTGCTCGGTGAAGCTGATAACGAGCTAGTGCGAGTGGGGCCTCGGCTTCCCGTTTGTGGGGGGTCGGCATGGGTGTTGGTGACCGACCGGATTATCGGTGGCCAATCCATATAGTTCTTGGGTCCGTTCGACCGGTCCTAAGGGCTCGTTGCCTTTCTTTGAGGAAAAACCACGGATGCCACGGGCGGCTATGAACCCGTCGGAGGGCGGCCTTGAACTCTTGGGCCTAAATGGGTCGTAGGAGCATTTTCAACTCCGTATCTACCGCCCTGCGATGGTTCTTGGCCCATTGAGCAGGCGAACCATCATCCGGTGTATCCGCCGAGGGCATGGCCGCAATTGCGTCTTGTAGCGATCTTTGGAGGAGGTGTCGTGATGCGGCGTAAGCGGCGCGTGAATCTAGGTGGATAGTTCACCTTTCGCCCGCTCTGCCCTATCAATAGCAGCCTCCCCGCTGCGCTCCTGCATGCCAAAACTACGACCTTATCTTCTCCGTTTCTCACGCGCTATTCGGATCTACCATGCTTGCTAATCCACCGCCAGAGCCCTAGATACGTAGCTTCCGCTCGTCGCCGCCACCTTTGATTCTTCGTAGCCACCTCCATCCTCCATGGATTTATGGTCTTTGCTCAATGTTACCCATGCGCGCATGGAGGGCCTCAAATCAGCGTGGTCTTCTCAGGTGGGAGGACCGATCTTGGTGAGTGAGGAGGCTTGTGCCCGACCGTGAGGATCTTGTGAGCGCCGCCCGATAGCTCGTCGTCTCCTTCGTGCTCTTCCATGAACATGGACTCGTGGTTCCTCCCCACCCGTTCTTCTAGGTCTGCTGCACCACTATCGGATCAGACTCTGCGACTTGAACTAGCAGGATCCGGCACATCGTGGCCTTGAGGGTGTACTGGGGATCGACCCCACTTGGGTGTGGAGGTATTTGTTCTCCATCTCCCTAATCAAGAAGAAGGAGGAGAGGCCGAGAGACCCGGTGCGATGGGATGCGCGGGTATCCACCTCTCTGGGGCAGCCCAGGCGGTAGTACATGCCTCGCCAACTCTCCGAGATCCAACAAGGGTGGCACTCACATTGGTTCTACCTAAAAACGACCCGGCCGCACCCTTCTTTGGTCTTCTCCAAGCGTCGATCGAAGAGGTTCCACCATCATGGCCGTGGGGCCACCCGTCAAGAGAGAAGAAGAGGATGCACGACCTCCTCAAGGCCATCCCATTCTTGAAGATCCACGGCCTCGGTGGGGCCAGCGTCATCGGGGGTATCACGCGAGGAGGGTGGTGCCGTGATGGCAGCGTGTCCTCCATTGTATGACGGGATGGCGCCCGTAGCGTAGCTTGTTGGGACGATGCTCGCCGGGGGTTGCTTCACGACCGAGGTCGCCTAGCGCATCAAGGTGGCCCCGGGGAGGCCAGCGTCGTGTTACCGATCCGGGGCATCACTGTGATGCGACCGGATGTGGGCTTCATCGAGCTACCGGTGGGGTTAGCCTTCCGAGATTCTATCGCTGCTGCTTACGCAAAAAGCACACGGTTGTGAGAGGCGGTGAACCATGCAGCGGATGAACAAAGGAAGAAGAGGAAGAAGGGCGACGAGGAGAAGAAATGACGGTCAAGCGGTGAGCAAAGCTGCGGCGTGGGAAGCGGCGCCAAGGCTCGCGTCGGAAAAAGAGGAGGAAGAAGAAGAGGAGGAGGAGGTGGATGGCGACTCCATGTTGCCCATCCGTGGGACGATCATTTGCTAGGGACGGGGACCCACCTTCACCGTGGGGTGGGGCCCTTCTGTGGCATGTCATGAGGTAGGAGGGGAGGACGCGCCCCGGGCCGCCGGAATCAAATCACCCCGCCCTATTCGGACCTTCAGCCGGGTGCCTCTGGAGTTGGCGGAGGCTGGCCGTTCGATTCGTTCGAGCCTCTCAAGCCAGGGAGGGCTCAAGCGTAGCAACGTGCCAACGAGGAGCAGCCGGGGTCCGGGCAAGCCGGGCCCCAAAAACACCCTCGTATGGCGGCGTCAAGGTGAGTAAGGAGTTTTTGTCATCCTTTTGTCCTAATGAATTTTTGTCGTGAGCCCGGACCACCATGTGCCTTGTAGCGTCGGAGGGCGTGGGACTCTCGTCTTGGCTTGCCCGAAAAAGATCCTCCTCAAGCAAGCCATGCGCCGGAGCCCGTGGCGCCCTTGTGAGTGGCGTGAGTGGGCGTCTGGGCAGCCACGACATCAGCAGGAAGCACGGTGATGGCTGCATCCATGGGAGAGCGGAGAGAGGAGGCAGCGTCTGGGCGTCCGTGGCGGGTGCGGCATGGCGGTCGTGTCCTCGGCGTCGCGAAGCGGCGCCGCTGCGCAGACGCCGTGGAGGCGAGCGGCTTTGGAAGAGGCGGGATGATTTGCTCCGGGCCATAGAGGAGCTCCGCTGACGAGATTGAGCACGGCTCGCTAGGAACACGTTGGCCTTTCGGCGTGGGTCGTCCAGCCACCTCGAGAATGAGCTGGAGGAGAGGGTCCCTAAAGGTTGCAGACCCGGCGTGTCCATTGGGCTCGCCCCGAGGTCGGGCAGCGCCAAGAGGAGGTCCGGTGCACAGGCTGAGGTGATCCGGCAGGCGTGATGGGTCGCGTGGGCTTTAGGCGGATGTGTGCGGTAAGTCTCTGGTTTCCCTTGTTGTCTTTCTCCTAGAATCCGTGGTAAGCCTTTTGAAACTTGATCGAGGTGCATGACTTGGGCTGGGGCCTCGATGACTAGCTCCCGGGGGGAGGTGGTGAAGAGCCATGGC